ATTCCGCCCTTCTGTTAAGGGCGAAGAGGCCTTCGAACGAGTTTGCATTAGCCTATAGTACAGAAGAAGAAAGATAAGAAGAGTTAAGTTGTCGTACGACACTCTTCTCTTTATACTTTCTTCTCTACTCTTCGTACGAGTAGGTTCTAACTAAGCGGTGAGATATAGACTCGTGGTATGGGCACGTGATACAATCACGTGCTTTCACTCTACGGGCACAGCCCATTACAGTCTAGATAGGCTAAGTAAAAGTTATCTAGGTATTCTCTTAAGGTCTAATTAATATATCGTTAGAAGGTGCTTAGAGAGTTCGCTATACTAAATAGAGTAACTAGCTATTTAAATAGTCTAAACCTTATTTAGAAGGCTATCTTCTACTTATCGCCTAGTGCGACGCGGATCTTATAGAAGGCCGTAATAATATCTAACTTTATAAACTATTTAGCTTTACTTAAGCTGTTAAGCGTCTCTTAGATAAGTAGTAGTAGATATTAGTTCTTCTTAGTAATCGCATTTAGAGCTCAATAATTAATATATAATTAGAGCCCTCCTTCTAGCTTCTTCGTAAATAGCACTAGCGTAGCGGCTAGTAAGCTACTTATATAGACAAATCTCTTCTTAAGAAGTAACGTAAGTTCTTTTTAGAGAACTAGGAGCTCTCCGCGCGACATGCTATAGAGAGGTCTCTATAGCAGTTAAGTATTCTTTAGCTCTAACTTAATCTTATAGTCTACCCCTAGCCCTTAATACGGTAGAAGCTTTTCTACTTACTTTAGGTTAAAGAGCTTATAGAACTCCTAGTACTGCGTTAGTAGCAGCGCTTATACGTTTATAGGCTTCTTTAGTTATAACGCTTTATTAATATCCGCGATCGATACAGCGAAGATCTAAACGCTATTTAGAGTACTCTTATATTAGCGAAGTAGTATTGTAAATATAGCAGCGTTCACGCGTTAGACTCCTTCTTATAGGGTTCCCTCTATTAATCGCACCTAAATGCCTTTCAAGTAGATAAAGATGCTCTTCTTCGCGGGGGCTATCGTCACATCGCGGTAATCTATCTACCCCCTTCCTAGGTAGACGTCCTCGCTAGAGGATAAATCTATTACGTATATATAGGTAGACTCTTCGTACCTATATAGCTTAAACGAGAATTAGGCGACCTTATTAATCTCTAATAGCTTACTATTCACTCCCTTAATTATTTAGGTAGAGATCTAAAAGCGCTCTAGAGAGTGGCAGTAGGTGAACTTTTTATTAATTAGTACGTAGTAGAGATGTCTATAATTAATTAGTACTATAGCGTTAACTACGTTGTTTATAATTAGATCTATAGTAATTAGCGGGGGACGNATATNCTTTCGCTAAAATTAACTCTATTCGCTACTTATCTACTAATCTATCTGTAGAGGCTCTAAGCCGAGACTCTGGCTTAGAGCTCCTCTTTTCCTAAGTCGCTATCAGCTAGGTCCTTAACCTCCTCTATCCGCTTCCGTTCTTCGCTCTTAGGAAGGGCTCTAGCTCTCTTAACCCGAACGTTGTTCGGACAGTTCCTAGCTAGGTAACCTAGCTCTCCACAGCTATAGCAGTCTCGCGGAGGTCATCTTAGCCTATTCGTCCTTTCTCGTGCTTGATTGACCTTTAAGGGCTCCCAGTCCATAACGTCCGGACTAGGTTCGTGTTAAGCGGTTGTCGTAGTGGGGCGCTCTACCTACCACCTGAGAGCTCGTTAAGCGCGATTTAATAAGGCCTACCCGGTAGAGGTTGTCAGACGTTCTTACTGCTTTATTAACTAGCTGCTCGTACGATAAGTCCTCGTTAATCGTAGCGAGAGCCTCCTGCAGCTTAGTATGAAGGCCTTTTAGGAACATACTCTTCTTAGCTGCTTCGCCGAACTGCTCGCCTGACTAGATCTTAAGGCGGTTAAACTCTATATAATAATCTCTCACTAAGAGCTTGCCTTGCTTTAGGGTTGAAAGTCGATCGAGCGCTTTAGACTTCTGGTGTGGATCGTTGAACTGTTGATCTGCAAACCTCCAGAGGTCCTTAATGCTACTCCTACTCTGATTTTGCATTACCTAAGGTAAGAGAACGTCTGCTGCTCTGCCTATGCACCTGCTAACCACATACTTAATCTAAGCGAGATTCGGCGCTCCTTCGTATTCGTGTCGGAGTTTAGCTTAGGTCTTATATTTAAAGGCTATGTACTTAGTTCTATCTCCGTCGAAAGGTTCTAGGTGTGGGAACCTATTCTTACGCGCGGTTGGCTCGGCGGTTGCGGCTGTTGCTAGTAATGGCGTGTAAGCTCTAGTGGACGACTCCGAACGCCCTTCGGCCTAGTTCTGTTCGAGTGCCTCTAAGCGACTGACCATTAGACTAAGGAGTTGCATCATCTACTCCATCGTCTAAGCTATGGCGCTCTAATCGCGCTTCGGTGAGCTTCCTTGCCTTAGCAGGCTTCTCCTTTCTACCACCGTTGACCGTTTTACGACTGCTTTAATCGTTAGGCTAATAGCTACCTCCTTCTAGCTATCTTCTCTTAGCATTTGCGTAATCTTACGTAGGATCTCTTCGTCTAGGACTCCTATCTAGCTCTTTATAGTGGCGTACGCCGCCAGCTCCTCTACGTTTAAGTTAGGAGCGTTGGTCTCTATCGTCCGATTCGTCTTCGGACGTTTTAGTTCTTTACCTACTAATACGCAGGGCTTTAGATCTCTCTTTAATCTGCTCGCGTAGTCCTAGACTGCGGCCTACTCGTTAGTAAGGACTAGTAGGGCTTACCTTCGGCTGTCCTTGTTACTAGCTAGAATCTAAACAGCGTTCTGTCGCGTCCCTAGGAAGACTCGCGTCTTTCTGTCTCGCTCGTGGGATCCCGTCTCTGATTAAGAGTAATCGCACGGCCTACACCTCGTCCGATCAAGAATTAATAGGACTTCTTACTATAACGTCCGCTTCTAGCTAGCTATATACTAGGCCTAAGTAGCTTTTAGGTAGTTTCTCGCGCGACGTTGCGCCTACGGCTTAGCTTTCTAAGATACAATAGGGCTTTGGACAGGTCCTGGGCGACTAATTCGCCTACTATCCCTCACAGCTAATCTTCTTACGAAGCTCAGCCCTAGGTATACTATCTTACGACGGTCTACCTACACGCTGCGCTAAAGGTCTTTTGTACCTACTACAGCACCAACTCCGTATTACTAGCTTATGCTAATAGCACGCTCTAAAGCTTAGTCAGAAGATAGTCCGCCTAAGGCTTATATCTAATTAGGATCGAATACAAAATGTAAGGGGCTGCNCTCTAGGGAGCAATCGCGAGGTATATAAGAGGTTNTATTTGATAAGGAGCTATCTACTCTGCTTACGTAGTATTTATTTATTTACTTATTAGAGAAAGGTTATGCCGGAGTATCTAAGCGCGTTGTCTGAGCGCGTTGTCTGAGCGTGCTGTCTGAGCGCTGCTCGGTCTGAACGTAGTTTAGATGGTGCGCGCGCAGCTTGGCCCGAGATTCCATCGAGGAGCTATCCAAAGGGCGTTCAGCCCGTTACATATAGGGACGTGATATAATTAGGTGCTTTCACTCCACGGGCGCAGCTTATTACAATATTTATATATAACTTCAAGCTAAGAAGCTTTAGGGTATAAACTATATACGTGAATTATGTGTGTGAGGTGCATGCGCGAATATACTTGTTAGCTAGTATAGTATTTCCTAGTGATTATAGAAGCTTCTCTACAACCTTCATTATTTCGACTAGCTCCTCATCCATCATACTCTTTCCTACAATCTGCACATGTGTTGGTAAACCTTCACACTCCTCTGGCTCATCTGTCTTCATGTCAGTCCAAATTCAAACTTCAAAATTTTTCTTTCTGCTGAAGCCTAACGGGTAGATGAATAAGGACTTACATGGGGGCTCATATATCACACCCTCCTTCACGAACTCCTTGTCTTGCTCCTTATCAGCCTTGCCCACGTTCAGAATGCCGCTTGGATAATTGAGCAAATTGACAACGACTGTGTAGATTGGCAGACCATAGGTGTCATGTTTTGGTGCCACGCTTTGATATCCTGGCATGAGAATCGCATCGAGTGCTTTCTGGATAGTGCCTTCTTCTGCCTGCTCACCAACCATGAGTTTGTGGAACTGGTTGAGTATACGGCCCTTCTCTACATTCATGTCCCACAACTCATCCAGACTTGCCTGCCAATCCTTCAATTCAGGGAAACCGGCTGTCGCGATCGATGGAATAACCGGCTCACCGCTTGCCTTGATGTACTGGAAAGGTGTTTTGCGGGGGTCAAGCATAAAGAATTTCCACGCCAGCATAGCTGTCTGGTACAGATCTGGTATCTTCTCGTCCAAAAGTACAATCTCGTGTCCCTCAGCTTTCAATTTCATAGCCGTAGAGTGCAGCGCTCGGGCGATGGGCGGATGCAAAGGTCGTTCTTTGCAGCCACGGATTAGTCCAAAGCGCAAGGGTTGCGTGGATGGCTGCACGGAACGCCAGGGCACGTTCAGACTATTTGGATCGAGAAGCCAAGGCTGTGTGCTGCTTATGGACTGGAGAAATAGGGCAAAGTCGCGGGTGGTGCGGCCACAGGGGCCAATGACTACGGGTACTGAGCCAGGAGAGCCTAGACGACCGACAGCTGCTCCACCGGCAAAGGGAACACGGCCTGCCGTGGGTTTCAGAGAGGCACCGCCGCAGCATATGGCAGGAATGCGGTTCGAGCCGGCAACGTCCGTGGCTACGCCCATTATGCTGCCTTTCATGGCAATGAGTGCGCCTTCACCACCAGTGGAGCCGCCGGCGGTATGCGATAATTTATTTGGATTCAAGGTGCGCCCAAAGATGTTGTTTTGACTGTCTGCTGTCATCATGGTTTGGGGTAGATTGGTTTTACAATAGAAGACTGCACCGAGGGAGTGTAGGGCGGTGACCAAGGCCGAGTTCGTGGCAGCCGGGGGATGGGGGATGAAGGATACATATCCGAGTGTTGCTTGTACGCCTCGCACATTGAAAGAGTCCTGTTAAGCGCATCTCAGTAACAGGTACAAGCCGGTGTTTCGGCACTATGAATTCTGAACGTCGAAAGGGTTGCTAACAACGCCTTCCGTTTGTGAATTGCACACACCTTCAGACTGATGGGTAACCCGTGCAGCGGTCCCAGCACCTTTCCTTCTTTCTCCAAATACTCATCGCACTCTCTTGCCCTAGCCAATGCCTCGTCGAACATAATCTCTGTAAGACAATTAACACACTGCTGGGCGACCGCCGCTCTCTTGCAAAATGCTGTCACCACTTCCATGCTCTTTAACTGCCCCTCAGACATCATCTTGACCAGATCTGTAACATCATAATTCTCGGTGATATCTAGCTCTTTCTCTGTCAAAATACCACATGTTCGAGGTACGTCTAGCACAGAGATGCTCGAGGTTTCAGTGTACTGGGATGTCTGAGATGTGGGGAGAAGCCAGTCTTTTGGGATTTTGGCAAAGACTGATTCTCGTTTCGATTTGGCCAACGCTTGCCAGTTAGCTATGGGTGGTGCAGACGCCATCTTGCCCTTTTTTTTAGTAAGGTTAAGAACCTGGGTAGAGCGAAATTTATAGGAGCAGCAAGACTATGATATACAGGACAGAGGCGTATTCTGCTGTACACTGCTGGTGAGGGGAAATATGGGGAGCCGGCCGAAATTGCCGTTCGGAACAAGATTCGGAATCGCCCAACGGCGGGGATATTGCGGGGATGCTACAGTCGTTCGGCAGGAAGTTAGGTCGTTCGCCGCGGATTGATCACTAGCGATTGAACAGAAGCAGCACATGTGGGAAGAGCTTTGTCTTTCACAGAAATGAAAAGTATGTGATCCCTGCCAGAGGTTGCTTGCAGGCTGACATTGCCAATAAGCTGCAATCCCGGACATAACGTTGTTTACGAAAATAAGCGGCTGGCAAATGATCCCGTGGTCAAGTTTGCTCATGTGGAATAGATATTTTAACCAAGCCGCCGCTCATTCCTATCGTACGGAGACTTGCTTCGAGTCTCTCTGTGACGTCTGTGATCCCTCGAGCGCGATCTTGATCGTTTTCCATCTGTGTCGCGTTCGCGCCTACGTTCTGGACGGTCTTCTCGTCGCTTACGCTCACGGCTCCTTGACCGATGCCTTCGTCGGTCATCTCGGTCGTCATCTCTCCGCCTGTCGCGCGAGCGTGAACGGTCCCGGTGTCTGTGGCGTCGCTCTCGGTCTCGCGAACAGCTTCGTGTCCGATGACGTCTCCTCCGCTCTCTGTCGTCGTCCCTGTGCCTCCTGGAAGGCTCCTTCTTCTCCCTCCTCTTTGCCTGGTCCTCATCCTCGCCCTTGTGGGCTTTCTCCTCCATTTTATCCTTCACATCAGCCTCGTGGGCCTTTTCACCCAATGGTGTCAGGTTTGCGTTGTTCCGCACTGGCACCGGGAGGCCCATGGCAGCAAGCATCGCGTCTTCCTCTGCCTCCTTCAGTTTGCGCTTCTCTTCCTTGATACGCGATGCTTCGGCCTCTTTGGATTCAGCGTCGCCTTTCGCGTACCAACTAAGGTCGCGGCCTTGTTGCCAACGCCCAACAGGCGCCATGACCGAGTGACCGAGATAATTTTCACGTTGCGCATCATTCTTGACATCTTCCCATTTAAAATCACCGCGGCCACCACTGAGCCATGATTAGCTAGACACAACTGAGATGTGATACTGGAAGTCTTACCGGCTACCTTCTTTGCGTACAGTTTGAACAAGATCCATCGTGAAAAATAGGGCTGAACAGGATTGAAGATGGACGTGAGGATTAGATTGTGAAGGTTGCGGGCAACACGGAGGTGAGAGGCCCGAGCTCCTGCGCGCTTCCCCACGCGCGACCGCGGTCCAGCTTCAAGGAAGTGCACAACCAATCCACACATAGACTCTCGCAGTCACCTCCATACATCATCGCCAGAATGCCACCGCCACTCCCACCCCCAGACGAGCAGGAATTCGACCAGCCCCAGCTTATCGGCGGCTTACCCACCCCCGACCTACATGCAGGAAATAACCTCTTTTGGTACTTTACCTCGTCACCCTGGTTCGACTCTGAATGCATCAACATCGATGTCTATCTCAATCTGCGCCAAAACGACCCGGTTGTTGCGGAGAAGATTATGAATGATCCAAAGTTGTGGCAACAGAGACTTGACGACCAGCCCGAAGGAACCCAGTACGTTATTGCGGGCGAAGGCCAGGGCGAAGGCCACCCGTGGCTTCTGCAACGCCAGCACAAGGTGCGCGTCACAGAGAATGACAAAGAACGCATCGAAAACTTTGTCGAGGGCAATTGGTATACCCACGGGACCAAGATGCTCATGGCGCCGAGCTTGCTGGATATCGTGCAGAGCAGAATGGTAAGGTTCAACGGAAGATGGTTGTGCAGAACAGATATCTGACATGTCTCGCAGCTTACTGTTTCAACGCGCATGCAACAGATGGCCGAGCTTTCCAAGAACATGACACATTGGACACCTGCAACCGGCTACTCGTACTTCCCCCCTTCGTTCGAAACTGCAAAAGCGACGACTACAGCGAGTCGAGTCGGCAGTCCAACGCTAGCCCCGACAGATGCAGACGCCCCAGGCTCGCAGTCACAAGGCGCAGGTGTAGCCGCACAGGCCACAGATTCAGCTGCTTCAGCCAATGACTTGTCTGACGCGCTCTTCATGCACTCGCTCAACCTCACAAACGCGTATGGGGACGAGTACATGGATGAAAATCCGCTCAAGGGCGAGCCCGGCGCCTTTGTCTTTGAAGGTACCAAGACAGCCGTCACTGCCAGGAACAAGGCGCAGGAGCAACAGGCGATTCAATCAGTGCAGCCAGCGCCAGCAGCTCCTACTGAATTGAAAATTGAGACCACGACGCCAAGTGTAGCGCCCTCTGTAGTGGCTACACCAAAAACAGTGGCAACTCCCGGGGCGATGGAAGGTCATAGTAGGAAGAGCAGTGTAGCGCCTGGATCGAAGAAGAAGAAGGATAGGCGGAAGAGCCAGGCTGGACTAGCTAGTCCAACCACACCCAGTGTGCCCCAAGCAGGATAGCCATTATTGCGCCATTATTGTGAGCGATACTCGTATATGTTGTTTTTCTTCGTTTGGGCTAGTACCTGACTTGTCTTTTTTTTTATCCAGTGATACCCTCTAAAAAAAATCAAAATATGCATATGTACATAACAATGAATCAATACGTCTATATTTCTTCTCCAGACGTCCCAGTGAACATCAATGCAGAGAGATGGACATGGGCCAGACCTTTCGGCTTCCACTGCTTAACTTGGAAGAGAAGAAAGATGCAAGATGATGAAAATCATTAAAAGAGACATCAGTGAAAGAGGGTGACCCGCACCATCGCACCAGGTATCAGGCATGCACATTGTATTGCCTTTGGGCCCAAAAAAAACATACATGTGCGAAAGAGAATTCAGAAATCTATTCAATCTACAGGTAGTTATTAAGACAGTTTGTATAGGAAGAAAAAACAAAAGCCAAAAGCAGCTAAACAGCAGAAACTCGCATATATATACAAGATATTAAAAGAAAGCTATGGATAGTAATATGGGCTATTTGGATGAATTCATCACATTTAGAAGAAGCAAAAGTTGCGAAGTGGTTGAGTGGGTAAATCCCGGATCCTACGCATAGCACCGGTCGTCTGGTTGGTGTTTGATGTGCGACGACGAAAGTGCAATGCGACTTGGATCTCCGTCGGATACGAGTCTTGACTAACTAATCATCCCTAAGAAGCGAATTGTGAGGGGAGTAAAGAGATATCCCTCTGATGCCAACAGAAAAAAAGAAACCCAAATATAGAACTCCATTCCAGATGCCGCTTGCTTCCTGTCATATATCACCATTTGCAGTTTGGTGAAGTTCTTCACCGAAACAGTTTCTTTCGTCCGTCCAACGAGATAAAAAAAGCCTCCAGTGCAAGAGTCCCAGAAGCTGGCCTAACCACACCAGTAAAGTAACAAAGGAGAGATACCAAGAGATAATGTTGAAGAGTGGAAAAACGATCGAGTCGTTGGGGTGTTGCAGGTGAAGCTGAGAGTGTACAAGTGAAAAGGTAAAGAGGAGAGAGATAGGAAAGTGGTATCTCTAGTAGGCTACAATTTGAAAAGGTGGTTAAGGTTGAGCATCGTAGAACTCTTGCTTCCCCAGGAATAACGTATTCCGTGAAAAAAAAGTATAGGAAATAAGGAAATGAAAAGTTGTCAAGACTACAAGTGGAAGGTTAAAGTGCCTTACCACACCCACTCAAGGTCGCCCAGGTCATCATGGGCCTGGGCATGATCGGCATGGGAGCGCCAATCTTTGCTCTTGTACCAGTTGTCCACTTTCTGTTCCCAGGAGCCATGGTTGTTGTTCTCGTTATGGCTGGAACCCCAGTGGATTGGTCGTCGTCCAGCCCCAGTGCGGCTCCGCTTCCTGGCGGAGTTCGGAATGGGTTGAGCTTGTTTGGGCGACTTGATAGGCTTGGATGGAGTTTGTTGGGCCTGCACAGCGGGACTACGACGGCGATCGCCAAGAGCAGCCCACTTGTCGGCAACCGAACGCTTTGGAGGAGTATTGCGGGTAGCCGCTGACGAACGATGTTCCTCAAAAACGAATCCGGTGGCTGCACTGACGTGGTCGACAGCAGTGCGGTGGTTCTTGGGCGTGGGGCTCCTGCTGTTGTGGATGGAGATGGGGTTCTTCATCTCGGACAAGCCGCCACGAGGAGTCGACACGCCGGAGCCAGCTTCGGAAACAACAGGCTTGGACTTGGGCTTCTCAGCACCAAAGGAATGACAGTTGTTTTCGAGCTCGGCAAGGAACTGGGCATCGTCGTCCTCTTCTTCCCAAAGATCGCTCCAGCTCTTGGAGATGACATCACGCTTCTTGCCAAAGACAGAAGACATGCTGTTGTAAGGCTTGGTTGGAAGCGAGCCAGAGATGGGCATAGGTCGAGATCGAGTGAAATTCACAGGCTCGGGTTTTGCGCCATCAGTTGACTTGAAGGACAAGCCCAAGCCAGAATCCACAAAGGATGCAGCAGAGGCACTGTCTGGCTTGACATCGTAGGGAGGTCCCGAGAACATGTCATCCTCATAGATCTCGTTGTCGGGGATAGCAGAGAGCTGGCGGAACTGCTGGGGTGGAGACATGGCGAGAGCCTTGGCCCAGGGGAACGAACCACCATTGTCAAGCTGGGGCGTGGAAATGGATGGTGTTCGGAGAGGCTCGCGGTTGGCGCCGACAGCGACGACATCACGCTCCTCGGTGCAGAAGTCATCGAGGCTCTCGTCATCAATGGTGAAGCTGATGACACGCTCCAACGCATCCTTGACGGCACCGAGGTCGCGCTTCTCAGGGTCAATGGCCAGGCACTGCCTAATGACCTCAAAGGTATCTTGCGACATGTTGGGAAAGACGTCGAAGAGACTCTGACGGTCAAGGGCAAAGTCGGCGTAGAGAGGGTCTGAGGAAGAGGGTACGGCAAAAGGGTTGCGTTGGAACAGGATGTTGAGGAGGACGATGCCAATGGCCCAGATGTCGGCCTTTGCAGTCGAGTAGCCAGTGTTGGAGGGGTCGTACTGCTCAGGAGCCATGTAGCGGTCGCTGCCGACAGCAATCTCGTAAGACCAGGGGTCAGAAGTGGCAAGACCAAAGTCGCCAAGCTTCATGGAGCCATCCTGGGTAAGGAAAATGTTCTCAGGCTTGATGTCGCGGTGGTAGATTCCCTTTGAGTGGATGAAGTCGACAGCATCGACAAGCTGCATCATGAAGTCACGCACATGCTCAGTCTCGAGAGGGCCCTTGCCATTGCGAATGGCTTCGTACAGATCACCATTGGAGCAGAACTCAAGCACAAGGTAGATGTGGTTCTGGGTCTCAAAAGACTGGAGCAGGTTGACAACATTGGAGTGATCACCAAGACGCAGGTGAACACCAAGCTCTTCGGAGCGCTCATCGACTGCAAAGGCGGAAGGGCAGTTGATGGCGGCCGAACTCTTGGTAATGACCTTGACAGCAACATGGTCGCCAGTTACAAGATCCTTGGCCTGGAAGACCATGCCGAAGGAGCCATTGTTGAGAGGAGAGATTGTTTCATACCGTCCATTGAGTACAACGCCTTCGTGAAGATGATCGCGCATGCACTCCATGAGGGATGTTTGGGGGGTGGAGAACTGGAGGGGAAAGGGCCGAAGGGAAAACTCAAAGAGGTCTACCCGGTGGCTGTGACGGTGCAGGCGGATGTGGAAGCCGCCAAACAAACAAGGAAGAAAACGGAAAGGTAAAGGCTCGATATCAAAAGTAAACAATGGGTCAACAGCCGTCAGCCCAAAAGCGATACTCTATCAGACTTTTAGGTGACTGTGAAATGTCGAAGATAGCGATAATATGGTTTGTAGCGGAGTCGGAAAAGAGACGAAAAAGTTGCCGAGGAGAGATGTCGTAAGGTAACAGCGAGGCCGTTTGGGTGAAACTAAAAAGCAAAGTCGTCGGTGATATGCACAGGTGGTGTCCGTCGACGGAAAAGACAAGGAAAGGTTCAAGAGAGTGTGGTTCTCATTTGCCGGTATTAACTGCGTATGGATGACTCGAGTCAACGAGCTATCGGAGGGAGCGGCAGGTGATGAGATGGAGTCGTGGACGTCCAGATAGGAAGAGGGATCGCTGCGTAAGAGAGGAAGGAAGGAAGAGAGAGAGAAAGAGTCGTAACGCGTGGAGGGAGGATCGTCGGTAGGCAGACAGTGGGTTGTTGTCTGATGACGCGGTTGGCAGCGTGAGTCAAGTGCACGGGCCCACGTAAGGAGAGCTAGCGGGTGTCGGATAAAGAGGGGGTTCGATGAGGCTAGCTGGCGACAAGCTGAGAGGGAGAATGTAGATTGTCTGGTGGGTGAAGCTCGGAGCGGCGCAGGTCGTGAGCCTGAGGAGTGTTGAGGCAGGAGAGGGGTTGTGGGTGTGGGTGTGTTTGGCTAGCTGGCTGTCTGACGGGTGTTGGGATGGCCTGCAGCTCGCTCTCTCTGTCACATCAAAACAAAGGCCCGGCGATGGCGGCTAGGTAGTTGAGTGCCAAAGAGCAGAGCAAGAGGGCGGGGCGATTGTGGCAGAGGGAGGCTGTGGGCCAAGGCGAGGTAAGGGGGGGTTGGCAGACGTTGTTGTTGGCGGTGTTGACGTATGGGTAAGCTGCACAGCGGTTGCGGAAGGAGCGAGCGGAAGGCGAGTATTATTAAGGGCAGCAGCGGTAGGTGAGGCGGAAGGCGGAGAGGGCGGAGGAGGAGACAATGGCGGTGGAGAGAAGCAACGCTAGAGCTTGCGAACAACGACGAGAGCAGAGATGGGTACGTGTTATGGAGGCATCGGGAGACGGTGGTGAGGTGAGGAAACGGATGGCGGACGGGCATCCTGGCTATTAGAGGGCAGCGCCAGGAGCAGGCGCAGCTCTTTGGGGGGGACCCGCTTGCAGCAGGGCGGCGTCGAGGCTAGCCGGGGTAGGGGAGCAGGAGGCTAGGGCGCCGCTGCGAGCTACGTGGCTTGCATCACCAGGTGCTAAAGCAGCGTGGCCACGCCCCCCCGTCGGAACCGCCACTGGACTGCTGCCAACTCTGGACTTGCCAACTTTCCATGCCCTTCGGTCTCTTTCCATGGCTCGTCACGGCGGCGTCGGACGAGGGAGGGCGCACTCGCTATGCTTGCTGTCCGCTGGCTGCTGTCCGCCAGCTTCGGAGGCTCGTCTTGTCGCCAGGCCCGTCTCACACGGCAGTCCTTGCTGGTGCTGCATCATGGCTCTCATCAGTGGAGCCACCCACCCCCCCGTGTGCGTGCTCGTCGCTGCCTCTGCCCCCGTTGCAGGTGCACGCTGCACGTCTGGCCGGACGGGTCCCGCTGCGGTGATGACGGTGGGACGGACAAAGACGTCGTCTGAAACATTGGCCGTGGCTGCCGACTGCCTGCCTGTACACTCAGACGAGTCCACGTACTGAGACTATCCTTACTCACATAGCTGCTAGTAGTCTGCTAGTAGTATAACATGGAGCACACACTCCCTCGCCCACGCACACGCACACGCACTCGCACACGCACACGCACACGCAGACAGAGGGCGCACAATCCAGACCACCAGCTGTCGTGTGCCAATGCAGGCTTAGCCCCCCAAGCGCCGCCTCCATGGCCGCTGCTGATCTGGGTCGGGTGCATTGCGCTTTCAAGCGGCCACCTGGCCTTTGATTGGTGCTGCCTGCAGCCCGTCTGCTGCCCTCGACCACTCGACTGCCTGCTCCAACACCGCCGTTATCTGTGGTTTCGTGATGCTTGCCACCTCGTCTCGCCGCTGTACTGAGCCGCATGCCATGTCGTGTGAGCATGGAGCGGTTGCCCGCCATGCAACCCACTGCCATGCCATCCAGGGGCTTTCTCGCCGCCACCCCTCCCCAATCCACCATGACAAGTGTTTCGGCTGTCGGCGGTCGGAGCCTGTCATTGGCCGCGCCCTGCTGCTTGTCCGCCATCGACCCGTCGCCGCCAAGCTCGGTGGGTAGCGGCAAAATATAGGAATCCGGGGAAAGCTTATGCGACTGCAAAGCCCTTTTGTGCCTTGCCGCCTCGCGGCCTTGCAGTCAGCGTGAGCCGGTTGAGTGATTATCGTCGCAATGGCATAATGCCAGGTCAGCGCCCTGAAACACAGACACGATCTGCATCCCTCATGGGGGCCCGATGCGCGAACCAGAGCACAAGCCGCTTCTTACTCCATGTGCCTACATGGGAGTAACCAAGTGAGCATCCAAGTGTACATGCTACATGCCATCATCGCCGTCCTTGTCGTGCTGTCCATTGCCCCGTCGCCGTCAGAGTACTGCCGAGCTGGGACTCGTGGTGCACGCTTCGCATTACCCTATCCTGCTCTACACTAACTTGGTCAATAAGACGCGCAGTAGACCGGCACTAGGTTGCAGTAGATTGCAGCAAATGGCAGCAGCGAGCCACCCAGCCAGCGTCTTGGACAAGCTACTACTGCAGCTTGCATGCAAACGGGACATTTCCTTGTCCCCACTTGTTGTACCCGTCCCAGGGCAACCCCGTGGCGGTGTACGCCTACTTTATACATGTAGGTCAATGTAGGTGTAAGAGGACGAGGAGTAGTGTAGGCCTCTCAATCCACATAGGCCAGCGACTACAATTGCAGACAGCGCACGGCCACGGCCAGCCTATAGGGCTTTGGACATTTCGCTGCTAGCGCCGCCCATGTGCTGCCCGCGACACGGCGACTTTGATGTGTGGGTCGTTCTCCAAGCCGTCTGCCCATCGACGACATCGAGCATCAAGGCGGCCACATGCTAGCCAGGTACTCCCGTCCATCTCACGGCATTCACGCCCCATATCCATCGACAAGTCGAGACATAGCATCAGATAGACAACGTCGGTGAGCGCCTCAGCCCAATGTCAGCCTCACAACACTGGTTCCATGGAACACAGCCGGGCACAGAGCCACCCTGACAGCTGTCATCGCACCATGGATGACTCCTGCCTATTGCAAAAATTTTCCCCTCGACGACAGCTTCACGGCTGTCAAGCCGCTTCCGGCTCCAATCCATGTGCAGAAGAAAAATTTTCATCTCTCTTGTTGAACAATATCAGGTTTCCAGCCTGACCGCTATATGTTTTGATGTTGCTTGTCTTACCACTCGCACCAGTCAGCTGCCAGAACAGCCACACGACACCACCCGTCCATCCTCACAGCTGAGGCGCTACACGGCACACTCTGTCGCTTCACCGCCATTCACTGTCCTGCTTTTGACGACCACAACAACAACAACCATTACATTGACGGCAACGACAACGACAGCAGCAACAGCAACAGCAAGAATAACAACACCGTCAGACGTCCAGCACCATGTGTGCCGCATCGCTCGATCCGGCGCGTTGGAGCCAAGCAGAGGTTGTGTTGCTTGATATCGGTATGTCGCAGAACTGTCTTCAAGTCGCTGTTGGTGCATGACCATGTACACATGTACATTCACCTACAACACGTACACGTACCCGCACACGCCATGTTTTGCCTCAGCCAAATAGCCATTGTTGTTGCTAGTCACACACGCACCTGCTAGTAATATTGTAAATGCACACCTGTACTGACATGGGCACGCAGAGGGCACCATCTCGAGCATCTCATTCGTCAAGGATGTCATGGTAAGCCTAAATTCTTCTGCCCTTGGCCTCCCATGTCGCTGCTTCCCCGCATTCGGCAGCGCAACCACCACTGCCGGGGCAACATCGCCAAATATGTCGACAATGACGCTGGGCGGGGCCTCGACGTCGTCGCCAGGCCGTTCGTCGGCCATGTAGCCTCCCGTCCATCTCTGCCCCCTTCGTTCTAGACGCTGTCGTGTTCTCTGCCTGCCTCCTCCAGCCATGGCCATCCCGCCACCCGTTTCCGTCATCTGTCACGCGAGACGGTACTGGTGGTGGGGCCTCCTCCCCGTTGCGCTGTGTGCGTGTGCGTGTGTGTGTGTGCTCACAATAGCCGCAGTACCCGTATGCACTTGACAGTCTCACAAGACTGGCACGCCATTCATGGGCTGATCCCGACTTCCAATCCCTCATTGCCGCCTTTCCAGACGACACCAAGCAGAGCCCCGATGCTCTGCTCGCCCACGTACAAGACCTGACATGGCACGACATTAAAGCAGTGTATTTGAAGCAACTACAAGGTGGGTTACAAATGAATCCGTTTCAACCTCGTCGGCGACCCTAGTCCCATCTCTTGCCCGCCGCCTCGTGCCAGGACCCTCGCTGGATCATCACCACCAAGCGCCGACACCGCGCTGCTCTAAACACACTAGTCCCACCGACTTCATCTCTTGATTCGATCGGCCACTCACCACCGGCTGCTTTATCGCGATAGTCGCCATCCTACTCCAGCCACCCACCAATCGTCCAAACCCTCTTTCGTCAGCTCGACGCCGCTTTCAGCTCGGCCTCCTGCAGCACAACGCAACTCTTCCCTTCTATCTCGTCACTTTGCGCCCTGCTGGCGCACTATCGTAGCACATGCCCTTTGTCTTTGATAGCACTGCTGGCATGCTCCACTCAAACTGACTCTTCTCTTTTTGCGCAGGACATCTTTGGACCACTGGCTTCCGCAACGGTCATCTCAAGACCCCACTGTTTGACGATGTGGTCCCCACGCTAGAAGCTTGGAAAGCTGCTGGCAAGACACTGGCCATCTTCTCCTCCGGCAGCGTGCAGGCACAGCTCCAGTTCTTTTCCTACGTCAAAGATGGAGACGTGACAAGAGACATCAAGCCTCTCTTCTCTGCCCACTACGATACCGTCAATGCAGGCCCCAAGATGGACAAAGCTTCTTACGATAAGATATGCTCCGAGCTAGGAAAGCCTCCCTCCAAGGTTGTGTTTTTGACAGACAACGTAAAAGGTATGTTGGCCTTCTCCACTTGTCCTGAAACAACACGCTACCCAACATCTTTGCCGATTGCACCCACCCACTGTAATACCCCTCCTCCTTCCCCCCTTCCATTACCCGATTCGTCGGTCGATCATCACACCATCACGCACCGGCCCTGACTACAAGTACCCACATGTGTATCTACACATGTATGGTACATGCTCCGTCATGCGACATACAAATGTCCCTCAATGTCCCACTACCTTTTTATTTGCCCACATGGACTACAGAAAAAAAAGGGCCTCATGTAACTTATCCGTCACGCGATCCCGCGCACCCCCCCCCCCACTTGCATTGCTGTCGCATGTTTCATACTACAAGTAACCACCGGCTATGATACTAACACGTTTCTTCTGCAACAGAGGCTGAAGCGGCAATCGAGGCCAACGTCTACGCTGTTGTTGTCGACCGTCCGGGCAATGCGCCGCTGTCTGATGCGTCAAAGGCGAGGTTCCCAGTCATTGAAAGATTGACGGACCTGCCGTGAGTCGAGGTCTAATACCTGTCTCACCCTGTCCTCTGGTTATGACATCAGATACTCTTTCCATCGCCCAAACTCGTGTTTGCAAATGCTGTAATGTTAAACCCGAATACCAGTAGTTGAGTGCTCAAAGTGGGCAGAAAAGCATATGTTCACCATTCGATTGCCCTACTGTGCTTTCCGCATAAATTCCATCCCTAGTACTGCATTCGTTGTACACACCTCACCTCGCTATGGGCCGACAAACTGATTCAAGCTCCTCACCGCTCGACTTCGTGTCTTTCCCCTTGCTCTCTTTCTGCCGTCCACGTACTTGTTTTCCTCGTGGCACTACACCAGCGTCTCTTCCGCAACCCGCTGAATCCACTCAGCCGTCTCAACCACCTTGCTCAGGAAAGGGCTATGCCCACTCTTGATCCTCGTAACATGCATGATTGCGCCCGCCTCTTCCGCCGCCTTGACCATCCCCTCCTGTGCAGCTGGGGGCAACGCCAAATCGTCCTGGCAAAGCAGATAGCTACTCGGAATGTGCTTCCATGCTGCATATGTCGTCGGCGTGGTGAATGACGCGATACCCTGGGACTTCAGACCCGCAGCCCAATGCTTTTGCTCCTCGTCTGAGAGATCGTTGTAAAAAAGCTCAGGTGTTGTGCAGGTGGCATTAGGACCATCGGGAACAAATGTGGGCGACGGAGACTTGTGCGCCGTGCTCATGAGAGTTCTACCCTCGGGCAGGACAAAACTCGCCATGAACGCTATTCTGACGACGCCGCCTTTGAGCCCCTGGGCCTCGCGCTCTTCCTTGCTCAGGCCCTTGAGCCCAGTGCCCGTTACCACGCCGCCCCAACTATGAGGGGCAACAATGACATCGTTGCCCTTCCCAATGGCTTCTTCCACTGTGCGCCGCAGAACCCCAATGTCTTCACTGAGGTCGCTAGGCGGGTTGGGATTGCCAACCGATGCCATTTGCTGGCAATGCGTTGTATAACCCAGGGCTTGCAGCTTCTCCATCAACGGGACCATGCACGCTGGGGTGTGTGCCGCCCCGGGGACCAGCACGATATGAGGCTTAGTCATACTCGATGTGGGGGTGGGGGAACGTTGGAAACCGTTCGAGCGAGGGGCGGGGTGCGTTCGGTCAAATATCGATGCTACGATCCGGTAGGGGAAATGACACTGAGGAATCAAATCGTCAATCGGAACGTGTCGGTGCCGCTGAGTCGGTGGCCAACGTCAAGGGGATAAACAGGTTTGGATATCAGGCATCCATACACAGTAAGCTTGTGTAGGCCTGTGGATCCCTCCTCTGAAAATAGTTAGAGTTAGCCGTTGCACAGGACATGGTTAGCCAGGACTCGCTGCTGTAGTGTAGCAGCCTACGTGTTCATTCAATCCGCATGGTAGCGACTGAGCACGCGCGTACGTACTCAACACAGTACTAACTTCGCTGGGATGGCTTCTTCAGACACCAATCAGCGTGTACAGGTACTAGCGCTGCTGAGTTAGTGTTGCCAACGTGCTGGGTATTCTCACGTAATCCAGTCTCTTTCCGTCTGGCTAAACAGGGTTATACTCCTGAGGCACTCAAGTTGCAACGCCGTCCAAGAATTATGCCAGAATCCTGGACTTCCAAAACTCTGGTTCAAATGGCCAAGGGTAGTATGTAAGTAATCAGAAGAGGTGGCTTCGGTGCAATTGATCATGAAACTCTCGTGGTTGGATCCTGGTGGTTGGGAGTAAGGAGGCTCTTGCCCAGGCAAATATGTTCCGAGTGTCTGGCTTCGGCAATTGTCCACCAACTACGCAGTTACTTTTCTGGAAAAGTCATGGGTGCTCCCTTGCTTGTGTCCTCCTTTGCGCTCATGGCTTCGCAATCGGTCCGTCGACGTCCAACTTTAAAATCACGTAGTATCCTGTCTCTTAAAGCTGGCCCAACCGAATGTTATTGCCCCTATTGAACTAATCGACATCAGGAGCCTGTAGTACATGTGTCATGACACCATTATCTCTGTCGAGGTATGCTACTGTGGGGTACTGGTACTGAGTCCTAAAGTATAATCCATACCACTATATGACAAGTGCCAACTTCGACATGTGAGCTGACAGTGTCTCCGTGTTGGCCATGTTTGGCGGTCACGATATGGGCGTGCGTAGGTTTGTGGGGGCTCCGAGGATTCTGTTTCCAGGTTCTGGCTCCATTCCCGATCTTTGAGCCTGATTGTGTTCTACTACCAGGAGATTGATGTGAGGTAGGGTGGTGTACATCCTTCGGAATATTCGTCATCCATATTGATATAAGCCGTTGTCCATGTTGTCGAGTTTGCACCAGAGGGTATCCATGGGCGTCCTGTATGGATTTCGTGTGCGAAAGTGGTTGATGGAAAAAGTTGCAAATCGAAAATGTGGTATCGTGTGTGGTGTGGGGACTGATGGGGACTAGCTGGTTAGCGAGACAGGCACCAGGGCAGTTTTGAACAACACGGCGGCCAATGACAGATCGACATCCGTTGTCCGTCAGAGTTTGTGCGCTTGTCGGAGCACGTACAGCATTTATCACGTCGCAAAACCATCTCTTGTAAATATATACAATCAAGTTGAATTTGGGTATTACTGCATCTTTGTCATAACCCGAAGTTGGTGTAGTGGGACGCCTCCAACGCCGAGTGCCCAGTTCATCCACTCTGGGCATGGATCTTGTGGTACTGTATCGCTCACTGCATGCACGGTTTTAAAAGAACCTCCACCAAATGAAAACAATAATGATGAAGGCAAGTCCACCAACAGGTCCGTACTGTGTGTTGGTTAGTGTTCCAGCTTGCCAGTATCCCATGCTTGCCGCGGTAACTCACCTGTTTAAGCAGTAGCTCCCAATTGATACGCACAGCTGCCTTCTTGTACTTTCTGCTGTCTTCGCGTAGCCGACTCGAAATGTCGCCCATCCTCTCCAGGCTGTCTCCACGATAGAGCAGATCTTCAATGTTCTTGGTCATTACCTTTGTGACATCCTTCAACTCATCATTCAGTTTATCAAGGTTTTGTGTCGCTCTTGAATCTTGGTATGTCTTCTTTGTGCGCTGAATAAAGGTGTCGAATTCTACGAAGGCATACGGGCGGCAAGTTGGCGAGAGATATTGCTGGGGCTGATAGGTGGTGGTGAATTCTCGCGAGAGATCGGACAAGTAGGTGAAGGCAAGCTTGCGGGGGTAAGAGCGGTCGCATATGCAGAGGAAGCAGAGGTCGCCTTCGATTAGGTAGCTGGTGACAAGGCGTTAGCATGAGTCGTGGCGGCTCTACCCCTGTTGCGAGAAAGAAGAGGAAGGCAGAAGGGGGCATTACTGGTATGTGTAGCTGCCGCTCTCTATGCTTGCTTGTGGCTCCGAGTTGCGGTTCAGGCGGCGCTGGACGAGCTTTACCTTGCCCTTGACCTCATTGAATTCGGCGTCTGTCTGGGGAACAGTGAGCGTTGGTTATGGAAGCCGCGCGCAGTCTTGGAATGGACAGTACCTGCTCGTCATCGACTGAGGCGGTCAATATCAGGCCTGCAGATCGGTCAGAACTCCGGCATATGCCTGCTCATTTATGATGCTGTCACCAACCATCCAGCCGGGATATCATCGTGTGTTTAATCATGTTGGCGGCGTGGGTGTCGGGCCAGGGCTATGTGCTATGCAGTGTCGTTTATTCGCCCAGAAACGCTACAGGTGCGTTTTGTTGGGGGGTAGCAGATACAAATTCAGGCTACGTGTCGGCGTTGGTTCAAGCCAGACAGCGGAACATGACGATGTGGAAAGGGTTCGGGAGAGCGCACAGACGCACCAACGCCATGTCTACGATTAGTACTTATGTCTACTTTGTCTATACCATGCCACGGCACGTGAATGCGACAACATCCATGTACTCTTGACACCATGCATCAAGTGATATGAGTAAAGCTGACGTCCTGCTGCTCCTTCACTCCCTCGCCTCTGCGATTGGACCTTCATAACACTAATCCAGACACTTGACATTGGCCCAACACTACTATTATTACTATCTCGTGCGTCGTATGCCTACCAGATTTCCATTCACCTCTACTGCTCGCGACTGCCTTGCATTTTTCAGGACAAGATGTCGCTACCTATGCGGTATGTTGCGTATCTTCCACCGTTTGCCAAGATTGTTGCCTTCCCACTGTTTCCGCTTCACGCCGACTGCTGAATAGCTATTGTCCTTTCCTCTCCAACACGACATTAGCCTCGTACCGTTTCTCATACCCCATCTGACCGATTCCTAACACGTAGTCCTAGATCTCCTTCTAAAGAGTCGACTACTTCACACCACCCGCTGCCGACTACAGTTTTGCTTCCAGTGAACGTAATGAGCTCAACACACCATGAAACCAATAAATCTTCTCCCAAGACACCAGGCATGGAAACCGAAGTATCGCAGATAGAAGCCATGTCTTCATCTCTGACTTCTCAGCCGACTTCTCCCGACTTTTCGACCCAGGCGCAACATGCACAGGCGCCTCAGCCCGAACCAACCACCACTTCAACCGCCAATACAGGTGCCAATTGCGCGGCGAGGGAAAGTCCGAAGAGGGCTCGTGAAGAGGATGATGAAATGCCATCTGCATCCAGTACGCCACATCCAAAAAGGATTAACAACAAGGCAAGCGCGACACCAGACAGCAAGGCAACTATACAGAAGCCTGCCCGCAAGAAGTCTGCGCCTCAGAAAACGGCTGCACCAACACCCTCCAGGTCGCAACCTTCAAGAAGCCGCAAAGCCCCTGAGCGCTTCGAAGACTTTGAGGAGAAAACAACCAAAGCTCTCCTAAGCAAGAAGGGTACCAGTAAAGTTTTTGACTCCGTCTTCATCACAACAAATTCCACTAGCCGCTTGGTCAAAGCAGATATATACGCAAGTTCAGTTGCTCCCACACAGCTTCACCCAGCTGACACAACACAGCATATGCTTCTCGAAGGCCCAGCCTGGTCATGTCTTAATGCAGAACAGCAAAGCAGTCTCATTGCCATGTTGCCTCAGGACAGTACAAACCAAGGTCTGTTGACCAAGATCAACGCTGGCGAAACGGAAGGCACACGACCATCGGCTTTCACTTTATCAAATGACTGCTTCCGTACCGATGTCGCAAAGTTCAAGGAAGATCTCAAGAACGGTCATTTGGCCAAAACTTGGCAGACTGCTGCTGAACAGGCAGTCATTGAGCGCGCGGCAGGAGAGTATGACTCGTGGAAAGCTCAAGAAGCAGAATCCTGGTGGGGTCAAAAAAGCGTATAAAGCATCGTTATTCAGCACCGCCTGCCACCGGACCAAGGTGGGTAGCTTCGTGTCTGTAATCTGAGTTCACACGTGCAATATGCAATGTGGCGTTCAGAGATGTACTTTGGCCCTCTATTCCGGCGTCTACAAAAAATTCCTTTACTTGAAGTATGACCCACAATAGTCGGAGCTCCTTTGTAATTCAAGATTCCCCTAATCAATTATGTGTCGGGCTTGTGACACCATTTCGATGCTGAATCCACATCGACAGTCGTCTTTCTGATCACACTGTCCTCATGCTCCGATACACAGTCTGATACAAATGGCTCTTCTTCCTCGTCTTAGGCTCCTTCCCTTCTCTGACAACGTCCGTGTCCGAGTGCTTGTTGCCATTTGTCTCTTACAGTGCATGTTTTACAAGCGGCATTTTTGAGGACCTGTTATAGCAAAAAGTCTCATTCGCACAGATTTGCACGCATTATCATTTAGTCCCTCACATCAGGAAGAAGAAGAGAGAAAAAGGAAAGTAGGACAACAATATAATAAGTCGCATTGAGTTCAGTCCAGGCACTGCACCTACAGGCGCAGCATCCCCATGTACAAAGACAAGTCCCAAAATATACATTTGAAGAGAATCCCCATTTCAATCATCAATCACAGGCCCAAACATGCTCAAAACTGGAGTGTCGCACCAGCAACACCAACAACAGCAGCCTTGACATCCTTGGCATCAAGAAGCTGGGGGACCGCATATGGCGCCTTTGTCAACGTACCCAAAGGCGCAGTGTTGCTGCTGTTACCAAAGTCATTGCCAGAGGCGACCGCGAAGCCATCGTCGATAGTGTACAGCGCCTTCATGGGGTTGACCCAGACGTTGTTCTGGACAAGGACCTGTGCGCCTTGGCGCACGTTGATGCCGTCGTTGACGTCTTCGTAATAGTTGTTGTAGATATGGCCGGTACCAAAGCGGATAGATGGGGTGCGCGAGTTGATGTTGCGCCAGTAGTTGTTGTTGTACGTGACCGTGAGGTGGCCCTTGTCTTCGGCACCGTTCTTGTCAGAGTGTCCCACGAGCGAGCACTTCCAGTGGTCGTGTAGGTAGCTATTAGAGACGGTAACAAAGTCGGCTGCGTGTGTGATGTCGATTAGGCCGTCGTAGTAATCCTTGTCGTGGGACCTGTCCGATGACACTTCGACATGATCAACCCAGACGTTCTGGGCCTTCTGAATCGCAATGGCGTCGCCATGTACAACCTTTCGGACGACAACATTACGGATAATAACGTTCTTGACGTCTTTGGCTGTGAGTGTGAAATCAGTGAGGACAACGGACGAGTCCTTGCCAATGACTGATTTGTTGCTACCAATGTGGACATTCTCTCCATTTCCAGAGATGGGTCCAGTGATGACAACAATAGCCGCCGCATCGCCCTTGACAGCAGCCTCGAGGTCAGCAAGAGTGGCGACTTTGACGACCTTGCCTCCCTTGCCTCCCGATGTGCCTCCATTTGTGGTAGCAAAACCAGTGGTTGCAACATCCTCTAGAGACGCTTGGCGCTTGACAAAACCCGAGGGTGCTGCCAGAGTAGAAACGGCCATGAGGCCAAGTGATAAGACTGAAAACTTCATTGTAGTAGCAATTTATTGCTGAAAATTGATATGAAGTGGATAGAAAAGCCGAAGCACTGAATCTATTCCTGTGGATGAGAGTGGAACAGCTGTGTCTTTGCAGATCTGTGGGGAATTCACGTCGGACCTTTATACAAGACATATCAACCCAACTCCTCATCTATTTTACCTAGTACTTCCCCAGGCTTGGTAAAGCTTCTATGGATCCAAGCTTCCCAAGCATCTAATCCTAGGCTATATTGCACCAATGGCTTCTCGTGAAGTAGTCCAAAAAGGCTCAAGCTACTACTTTTAGCTCCGGATAATTGCCCCTTCTTTACCAGGGTATGGAGAGGGGGCAAGCTACGACAGGTGTTGACGTTTTCCTCGGCGCTTAGGCGGAATGTTTCAAGTAGCACAACTAACCCAAGAGTGTACGAATATCTCCGCTTCCCCAGTGAGCGAGATTAAAAGGATCCTTGTTTGAAATTTCCCATCAAATGTCGATACAAGTTGATAATTTTCGCTATGGGAGAATGCAACACTCAGTAGCTCCTAATTGATGTAGGTAGCGATGGAAACAGACACATGACATGATAATAAAGGCCGTTACAAAAAGCAGTCTTTGAATCCTTGCAACCGACAGTAAAAACATGTGGCTATGCGATCTTCCACGGTGAAATTTAATCTGAGATCCTTCCAGAAGCGAGTAAGTATACGAGGGGGAAACATGTAGACCACAGCTCCAGTCAGGCCACGAGTCATGCAGCATCCATCATGCACCTGTCTACTAGTAAGTAACCAGCCAGTCTCCCCACGCCCAACATTTGAGATGAATTACGGAAAAACCTATTCCGTCAACACAGCATCATTGCCAATCACTACCCACAGCAACACAAGTCGTGTTACTACCGAATCGCTGCAAAATTAGCACCCTTGAACAATTTCAAAATGAACTATTGCTGCAATATCAAAGGCGTGAGCTAGGTAGTGAGATGCTGCCCATAAACAGTCGCATTGATGTGGATCACGTGGAGCCCTGCGCAACATCTAGCTGGTACGATAAGGTGCTTCGGAGCCTAAGACGATCACTGTCAGATAAGGCAAGGGGAGCGAGAAGAGTGAAATGAATACGAAGAGGCCTTTACGGACCCCCTGCTAATATGTTTCGAAGACGCCGAACACCTGTTCCATTTGCTCATTGGAAGAGTGTACAATCTGAGCATTTGGAAAATACTGCATGTCGATTTGTCATACTGGTCGGCATGCTTCATAAAATAATAACGGTAAAAGAGTGGTGCGTCAAAACTCGCGCAGGCTTTTCTTGTCCTCTGGATCGACGGGAAAACTAGGCTCTCCGCTATTCGTGCGAAGAGCCGAAAATTCATTGGACTCCTGTACTTCGGTAACCACTTGGCCGAGGAACGTATTGGAATCAATAAAACAAGGCTCGACATCACATACATCAATGTAGACATACTTACACATACACTAGTCCCACAAACCGAAGAACAATGGTTCGCGTCACGTGTTGCTGTGACATCATCGCCCAAAGCAGTAACCTCCACCTAAAGCTCTCTAGGGTTCACCTGAAAGATGCATAGTTCAAGGCAGCAACAACCCTTTTTCACACCGTGTCCATAATTTAAGACATTCTCAAGAACGACAAATCGCGACTACGAGTGCTAGATTTGTTCGCTCTATGTTACTATCCCTGATCCAACAACGAGACAAGACTCCAAAACCACAAGCAAAGTGACTCACAAAGCCGTGAAGCTACCGGGCAACACATCTTTCCACAATGCCCCCAATCCCAATTCACAAGAACTCACCCATTGCGCCAATTACGGCCGCAAAAGCAGACGCCATAACGCCCGAGACTGCGTCCTCGAACAACCCCACAACCAGCCCACCTCCTACCCGTACCACGCCCGCCTATGTTCCCGCAACAACTACACAATCGTCGTCGTCGCCTCCCGCACCACAGCCCGGCGCCCGCCCTGCCGCCCCCACAGCGCCAATAAGCAGCGACGGGTACAACACCAATGGGACACCAGCGCCCCCACAGCCGGGTCCTACAGCAACAGTAGTGACAACAGAAACACGACAAGTCGGTCCGCCTCCCCAGTTTAGCCGCCCGCCGCCTTCGGACTCGATGCTGGCAGGCCGGTCAACAGTGACTACGACGAATCCTACCTTGTCTACGGCTAGCAAGCCTGGCCCAACGACGCTGAATTTTGGTCCTGCGGCTTCGCCCTTTCAAACACAAGACTCTGGGAATGCGGTACCACAGCCTACAAGAACGAGTTTGGAGCATCCTCCAGGCTATGTCCAAGCACCAGACAACGCCCCCTACACTGTTGGAGGCGGCATTGGTGCGCCGAGCGGAGCGGGCCAAGGTGATGGAGGACAAGGCGAGGGCGTGGGAGCACAAGCCTGGCAGTTGTTGAGCAAGGCAGGAGAAGCGCTAAAGAAGGGCGAGGAGAATGTATGGAAGGCCATCAACAACAAAAATGGCGGTGGCTTCTAACCGAGATGGTCATCATGGATAGTGTTAGTGAAATACCAAACTCATAGTCAACCCAGTATCCATTCAGACATCACATCGCAAGAGGCACAAGTTTTGTACAAAGAAACCCATGACTTTCTATTGACCACTATTTTCCCCATTGCACCGAGCGATGAAAAGAGGAAGTACAGTCAAAAACAGACAAAGCAATGCAAGCCGGATATGACGTGTGAATGTTGTAAAGTACAAGAGTGTGTTACCACTCCGGGGTCGTGCTTTGCGTCAGCAAGAGCAATCGTCGGCCCATTGGACGTCTAATTGCTCCAACACGGACACCTCATCCCCATCTCTCACGTCGCAATTAGCTGTTTCCGCCACATAAACGCAGGTTTGGGGTATCGAGGAGGGAAGAGAGGCGCTTAACCGGATCCACCCTTGAACTTCTTGCCGAAGAGGAGGAGCTGGGCCTGGTCGTAGATGGACAGGACACCGGCACCAGCAACACCACGGAGGATGTTGGCACCAGCACCCTTGAAGAGGGAGGTGACACCCTCAGCGGCGACAATCTGGCGGGCGGCATCCATGGTACCCTTGTACTTGACGGCCTCACCAGAGGTCATCATCATACGACGACGGATGGTGTCGAGAGGGTAAGAGGCGATACCGGCACCAGTGGTGACGGCCCAACCAAGAGCGAAAGAGGCCAAGAAGTTACCCTCGAGGTTACCGGTGAGGAGGACAGGCTTGATCGAGTCGTACATACCGAAGTACAGACCACGGTAGACGACGATACCAGCAACGGAGGGCATGAAACCACGGTAGAGACCAGCAATACCATCGGAAGCGAGGGTCTTCTTGTAGACGTCTACAAGACCGTTGAACTGACGCTCACCACCCTTCTTGGCCGACTTGGCGTCGTTGGCGAGACGGGTACGGGCGTAGTCGAGGGAGTAGACGAAGAGGAGGGAAGTGGCACCGGCAGCCTAGTGTTATTAGCATGTGAATAGACCCTTGGATCGTTGTCCAAACTTACACCACCGGAGGCCAAGTTACCGGCCATCCACTTGGCGTAACCGTCACGCTCCTTCTTGTAGGCGAACATGGACTTGTAGGTGTCGCGGAAAGCGAAGTTGAGCGCCTGGGTAGGGAAGTAACGGATGACGTTGGCAGTGTTACCACGCCAGAGGGAGAGGACACCCTCGTTCTTGGCGGTACGGCTGAAGCACTCGACGATACCACCGTACTTGCGGTCGAGACGACCGGACTTGAGCATCTCATCCTGCGGGGTATGAGCGATTGTTATGCGGAGTTTGTTGAGTTGAAGCGTACCTGGTTCTGGATGAGGAGCTTGACACGCTCGATGGGGGCAGCAGCAGTCTTCGAGACGGCGGCGGAGACACCACCCACTGATAAGCTGTTAGTTTCTGGTACAAGCGTAAAAGTTCATTGATAGCATCAACATGGAGTTGGAATGTCAATGGCATCCACGCCGATGAAGTTATCAATGCCGATGAGACGTACTCAAGAAGTCCACCACGAAACCCTGATTATGTCGTTAGCACATGTTACAGATAGGAGGGAGGGCAACCACCGCCAACCCCACCAGCCAGCACGAGCATCTATAACGATGCCAATCTCATCTCAACGGATCGTCGGCTCGCTACGAGAAATCGTATCGATGCAATTGATGTGCCATTGAGTTGAGTGCGCGGACCAGTGGCATTGTGGGCTGCGGGTGAGGGCTCGCGGGAAATGGGTGTACATACGGGCATGCCCATGAAGCTCTTGTCTTGCTGTTTACCCGACATCTTGACGACGTTTGGAGGGGAGATTGGGTGAAGAAGGTAAGGTTGCAGAGGCTGGCGCTGCGTTAAGGGAAGACAGGTGTATTTGTAGCGAAAGCTGCGACAAATTCTGCCAGCTGCGCTAAGCCGCGCTAGGCCAATCACGTGCTAGTTCCCACACCCGCTGTCCCGAGCACTTCCACATCTACACCTCGGATTTGCGGACTGGGGAAAAAGTACTTCTGATAGACGTTTCACGCACAATCTGGTCCTTTGTCTTTTTGACTGTGCTGCTTCGGCAATTGGCTCGCACAATGCAACTCTTGTCACCGTCTTTTTGGTATCCTAGAGTTTCAAGTGATTGCGGCACCACAGAAGCGTTGCCGTAGTAGCAACTAGCAAGCGGATACACTTTGACGGAATCACCTCCATGGGCAGTCGGCAGGCATTGATTCAACACTTGAAAAAATCCACTGTGGGGATGTACAAGTGTCCAGATACCTTTTCTAGCTCAAGTTTCCCAGGTTCTTAGGCCTCTCCTTTTCGCGAGCGGCCACGGTCAGGGTCCGCCATTTTTAGGTCGGGTAATCTCGGGTAGTGATCCTTGCACGGACCAACACTATAGCGGCAAGACGCAGGGGCCCAGGACTCCAGAGGGGCGAATTTTCCATCGCCTTGGCCGCTATTGGAAGACGTGCCGTGGTTCGCGAAGCCTTTGTCGAGGTCTAGGGCTGCCGAGATGTTGTGGCCAGGCAAATGACGTTTATCTTGCATTAACAGGTGCATGGCTTCGTCAGGTTCGGTTGTTTCGCATGCTGACCACCGCAATGATTGTGCCCTGGTACTACAGCCTCGTAAAGATTGCCGCAACAACCCAAGTTGCTGACCACCACTAAGATATGCTCATACCAAGACTATGCATGTGTTGCGTTGTTGTAAACCTGAATGCCCAACGCCAAGACCCAGACAAACAGGTATCAACAGGTCGTGACATCAAGTAAAATCACATTCCAAGGGAGTTTTCATAGAGATCGTAGGGTATCCATTGCACCGCAGTGCCTACTAAGAAATATATTTACAGCTATAGGATGTTCGTGAACACTACAAATTACGACTAGGGACGCCTATCATGATGCGCCATAATTCACACCTTTTTGGGAATTAATCCGTATCCAAAAAAGTACACGCTGACGCCTGAGCAGGATATCCAAGCCTACGGTGCCATGAAACCATCAGCATTGAGTTTACATTCGGTCTCCAGCGTAAAACTGTTCTCGAATGCTTGCACATGGTTAACAGCCTCTGCTGCTGCAATTCGGACAAGTCCCTTTGGCGGACTCAACTTGGTCGTGACCTTTGAAACATCACGTTTCTCGTCACTGTAGTTGCCCCCAGCTACACACTGCTTATCGCCCCACTTCGCATCGGCCGCTGCGCGCCATACAGCAGTGATGTCAACAGTCATCTCAGGAGTATAGTAAAGGCGACAGTCGGCCTCCTCGTAAATAAATTGCAAGGCCACACCAGAGGTGTCATTCACACGAAGTCCGTCTCGGGAGTTCACACCTGAGCCTGCACTACGCGAATAGACGAGGTCGCGGTAGTAGTCTTCTCGCAGAATGGAGCTGTTCAGTGAAGGATCAAAAGTGATGGCATACTGTGCAGTCTGCTGGATGAAGCCGAATTGGTAATTGTTGACGCCCTTGGTACCTCCAATGGCCTGCATGGGGTTCTTGTTGCTACGACCGCCCATAGCAATGGTTGTAACGCCCGCCTGTTGCGTCATGAGTTCACTGAAAATGGTGCAAGTTGACGCGCAGTAACCGTCTGTTAGAAGAACGATGTTCTCGGGAGCAAATTTGGGTGGTCCAGTGACATTGGCAAGAGGACCATACCCGCTCACGTAAATACCACCTGACGAATAGGGAGTAAAAACGTCAGAGAGATTCCATCGTGATTCTGTGGTGTATAGCGCGCCGTTGACCTCGTGGGGTCCCATCTTCTCGTCCCAAGACGAGAAAGGCGTACCATCCACCTTGACATCAGTATGGTAGTCAAAATAGGAACTCTGGGCAGAGGTAATGGTCCTGTTGTTGCCATATTCCCTTGGAAACTTGGAGGCAAAAGTACTAGTGGCCTTGCCGATGAGATCTACGGCTTCGTGTGCACGGAGACGATTGTTGCTGAGTGGCTCGATATTGGGAAATAATTGCTTGAACATGTCGTAACCCTGCAAAACTGTGCCACCACCGTTGGCCTGGAGGTCGATCACCAGCTTCGTTTTCCCGTCTGCAAGAGCTTTGGGAATGAAGTTCTGTGTCAATTGCTGGAATGGAATTTCAGCGCTGTTAGAGCCGACAAAGTTAGGCACTTGAAGCACTGCAACATCCTCGTATCCAGGAGCGTTGATGTAGAACCCGTTGATGAGTCTCATTGGACCAGCTGCGATAGGGGTAGGATAACCTGGCGCATTGTTGCCAGCTGCCTGGACAACAGCAGTATCAGCACCCAAATTTTCCTTGGGTGGGCTATCCGTAGAACCAAAGGTGAGCCACTTGTCGGCTAGATCCTGGCCTGTAACGATGTTGCGGAGTGGAATGAGCGGGCGAGCGTAGTTTTCCATTGTGTAACTAGACCCGTTGGCAAAGGTAAGGGTTGTGGTGGCTCCAGGATAGACCCATCGTCCACGACCACCTCCAGTGAAGGTACCAGTACCGCTGCCCATGGCGCTGAGACTGACTTGGGCAAGCTCATAGAATAAATTATTGTAGAGTGCATCACGATCCTGGAGCTGGCCGTGCTGACTGAATTCCTCCAGGAACTCTGTTGCATCCCTGCCATCAATCTCGACAACGGGGGAAGGCGTATAGGATATGTTCTTAAACTGCATACCAAGGACATCGGGGAAGGCAAAGACTGCAGGTAGTTGATCTCCATCCTCGGAAACAGAAACTAGGGGAATCGGTCGGCCCCAGGTGAAGAGGGAGCCAACTGAATCAGGGACGTAGGCAAAGTGGCCGTCATGGGCAGACTGGATGAGTTTGTAGAGAGTCCAGCCAAAGTCGTACTCGTTCTTGAAGTTGCCAGCGTCAATATCGGCATCGATCTGGTCGAGTCCCCCAATGATGTCGACCGGAGGCTGGATTTTCTCGACGTACTCGGCGGGTGGGTTCTTGAGTACATCGAGAGTACTCTGCCAATCGATATATGGCCGAATGCCCTCGATGAGTCGCTTTGCCGAGGATGCATTAAAGGGAATATCGTTTAGGCAATCCCAGGCCAGCTGGGCAGGGACCTGCTGTTTGGAAGGGGAATTGCCGTCGCCATAAACATAGCTGGAGACCTTGGCGCAGGGAGCTGAAGTAGTGCCGTTGGCTTGGCGGCGCTCAAGATGGATGTGTTCAGTACGAGAGGGCAGTACTGGGGAGGCGGCAGCCAGTGTGGTCAAGGCCGCAATGGCGAGGGTGGAGTGGGTCTTCATAGGTAGGGCGTGGATAGCCTCGCCGAGCTATCCTTTTTTTGCAGACGGGCTAAGTTAGCTGGAAAAGAATGGGATTGCTCGGTGTCGAATGGAAAGATGAGCGAACAAGGACGAGGTGGAGGGCCGTGTTTGTAGTGTAGTCGTGGCGAGGCAAGAGCAACAACGTCACGTGCTGGACATTGAGTCAGGAAGGTAGTGTGCAAACGGGCAAGCAGATTCACTTGGGGCTCTGCGTCCGTTTGTCCCCAAGGTGGCAGTAGTGAAGGGGGGGTTGCAGCCTGAGGAAACGGGCAGTGAAGATGAGACGAGCTGCAGGGCCCAGCGCTCTTAAGAGTCCTGACACGCGCCACTAGGAGGTTGGTGATATACATGAGTGACGCACCCAAGACCCGCCTGCGTACGAATACAAACAGACTAGCAGATGGGTCTGGGGCCAATTTGAGCGACAGAGCACTAACCCACATGCCTAACGCAGAGGTGCATTCGCAGTCGTAACACCAATCACATTCACACGTCTCCTGCATGAATGCCGAACAGTGGACACCCAGCCTGGGATCCGGGGAGCCATTGTGGCTGGTCATAATACATGGTAGGTAGAGATTAGCACAGAGCCGCAACTAAACTAGACCCTACCGCCTATATGGAGGCAAAATGTCCATGGGCTTCGTTGTTCGCACAGGGACCGTAAGGCAGAGCTGTGTGGCCATGGATTTGGGGTTTCAGCAGAGATTAAACATACGATTCAAAAAGACGCCATGTCAGCCGGGTATTTGGACGAGGCAATAGGGAAAAAAGGGCCCAAGGTGTTTCAAGGGATATTGCCGGAGCAGTTCGCAAGGGCGGGCGAAGCGGGCGGGCGGGCCTGAAAGGTGGGTGGTTGAGTGCCGAGTGGCAGAGTGGCAGCTTGGCGCGTCTGTGCCTGGAGATCGCTGGGCCGCATGCTGGCCACCCACTCCACTCTTCCAACGCTGCATTTCACACACACACACCTTAGCAGCCCGCCCGCCTTCCGCTGCTGTCCAACCAGCAATCATCCATGCAAATATGCTGCACAACATGCCGCCCGTCTTACCAGCCCTGACTGTGGCACGCTGTGGCCTCATATCCCTTTACCCCTACATCCGTCTGTCCAACTAGTACTATGTACACCTGCGTATCTCGAGTAGCTATCTATGTCCATAGATGGGGACCCAAGTCTGCAACAAAATGACAGGCTGTTAGCATCCTCATGCGCCCCTTGACCACAATCAACACCCCTGCCACTTCTTTTCGCCCTTGTCTTGCCACCTCCGCCGCTTAAAGCCGTCACAACCGATGGCGGCATTGCTTGCAGAAATGGAGAGAACTTCCTGCCAGACAAAGACTTCCAAGTAGCACTACCGCTGTACGTCAATCAAATCCCAAGTGATGACAAGACGGGACACAGGCACATTCATGCTTCATCTGCTTCCCACCGGCAGCAACGTCACGGTGACCATCAAAACAATTAGGCGGCATCCCGTCTGTGGTTCCAAAGTGCCAAGCCTTGCTGGGTCCGGTGAGGCACCTTTTACGCTACTTTTTTTCCGCCTCGCACTCGAGCGCCGTATCACCCCAATGGGAGACGTCACACTCCCCCGGATTACGGTTGGAATCAAATCTCGGGTACCGTTGCGCCACTGACTGTTTGTTCCCAAAGCGTTGTCGACTACGGGATACTCATTGTAACGAAAGCTGTCCCTGATTCGTCTACTTACACTGTTTCTGCCGAACTGGAATAAAGCCAGGCACATGCACGCACGCAGATACTTATGTAGGCACCCGAAGCACTGCCGACAACAATACTCCGGATGCAAAAAAAACACGCAGGATTCGGTTTCACTAGCCTCAACAAAGCTTGGCGAGCTTAGTAGTCTGCAAACCAGCCCCAGCCGTACCATACCCGCCACAACGGCTCCACTACTAACCACTGGGCTAGCACTGCGCACCAACTAACATCCGTTCCTGCGCAGTAGAGTACCAGCGAGCTCTGGTGCTAGAATTTTCCCTTCACCTGCTACTTGGTAGCAATATATCCCAGTACCCCTGGGCACAAGTGTAGTGCAACGTCTATTTGCAAGATTGAAGCATTACAGGAAAAACATGACAATGGCAATATTAGTAATGACGTACAAATCGTCTTTCAAAACAAGGTGCTCACATGGTTCGATGGTTCCGGGACTGTTTCATCCACTCGCAACCTTTGAAAAAAGAAAGATAAAACATGCGAAGGGAAAACATGGTCACTCGAATCACTCCATTACACACCCTTCCAAGCCCGTGCTACTGATCATCAATTCCAAGTGATCAATCAATTGACGAGACGAACACACATGCAACACACACACAGATAAACTTCAAACACCACAACTTCCCAAAGAAATATGACATTTCCATTAACAACCCCAATAACCCCTCGGTATCTCATCCCGTACGTACAAATACAAGTACAAACAGCAAAGTAATCATACCCATGCATGTGACAGTACGACTGAATCGCCCTTGTCGTCACACGCACACAAACAATACTCGTGTCACAAACTATAGTTCCTCCCCCTTTTTTTCCCTCCTCGAAACCGCTTCAAACAGAAAACAAACCCCCAAACACCATAGAATGCAACATGCTTTCATCGTCCTCCCTTCTTTTTATTTCCTGTTTTTTGTGCTTGAAATACCATCTCGTCAAAGCGTAGGTAACGTTGTAAGAGGTAATCATATTGTTTTGCCTTGTCCGAGGATATTTGGATAGGGTAAAAAAAAGAGTGAATGCGAGATTACCCTTTCTTCCCTTTTCACTCAAGTCCCTCTGTGCAACGAGCGGTATGACAAGCAGGACTGTCAAAATATCTTAGTCTTTCCTCCCCGGGGAGTGTAACTTCTCTTCTCAAAATTAGATTGATAGACGGGTTGAACAAGACTCCGTGACAGTAGACTTAGATCCTCAGCTCCATCTGCTCATCCACAAAGGTAGCATTGGCATGGTGATGAGTGTGGTCATGGTGTCCTTGCTTAATCAAAGCGTTATACTGCGGGAACCAAACACGTTAGTTTTCTCATTACATCATCATCAAATACTAGCCTAGAGGCCAACGTACCTTGAAGCCAAAGTTCAAGCACAAAGCTACTACAAGACCAATGCACACAACCAACGGTCCCGTAATCGCATCAAAGTCCTTTCCGCTACGCTCCCGGATCAACTTAGCCCGGTACACGTACATGCCGTAGCCCCATGCTAGCGTAAAGGCAGCCACGCACGTATACACGACAGCCAGTGCGCGTGCAATGTCATTTCCTTCTCCTGCGGCATTGTACAAACCAAGGGACAGAGAAGCAAGCAAGACACTAACATGCTGCCACTTGATAAAGGTACGCTGGTTCGCGAGCCACACTTTGGCCTCGACCCTGACCGGGCCCTGGTCCTTGATCCATACACCGGGGTCTCTGATGCCTGGCGGCAGTTGAATCTTACGCTGTTGTCGGCGGGCGTACTTGGAGGTGGAGAAGGATGGGAAGAGAGCAGCAAGACCACCTCTTTGCGTCTTTCCTCCAGCAACTACATCGTCGTCCGAATCCGAATCTTCTTCAACGCGGACGTTGGTGTTGTTATTGTTCGTGTCACGGTTGCGGTCTTGCTGCGATTGCGAAAGGTGCGAACCAATCGTCGGCAGCGAGGGTCGGACGGCAGGCTGGGAGTGGGCTGCCATGCTAGCACTCTTGGGCACAGAGCGAGTAGCTGCGGGTGAGCCAACGGGCGAGGCAATAGATGGGCGGAAACTAGGGCTTGCGCGTGCACCGAAGAGGGAGCCAACAGCAAACTCATCCTCGGCGGCTTTGCGTTTCTTCTCTTGCTCGTCGTCAAAGGCCTTTTCAGGCTCCTTTCTGATGTCGTTGTCCACCTCGCTGAGCCAGAAGGGAAAGGTGTTAACGTTGTCCTCGAACAGTTTGGCGACACCGTGAACAAACTTGGAGAAGCGAGGCGACTCCTTGACGAGGTGAGAGTGCATCAGGTCCTCGATCCACTCGTATTTTTGTGAGCCCTTGACCTTGACCTCAAGCAGCGCATAGGGGAACCTGTGGATCTCGCCCTTCTTGAGGTTCTTGAATGGGTACTCCAGCTGGGCACCGTCAATGTCGTGCCTGTGCCAGTCCTCTGGGTCGCGGCATGGCCTGCTCTCGTCGAGCGAGTCTTCGCGGATGAGGGCAAGATTGGTATCGAGCGAGATGCGGATGCGGTCGTCGCCCGGGATCTGGAAGGCAGTGCGAGTGTAGTTTGCGCGGAGCATGGGCTGTAGCTTTTGCTCCTTAACAAAGCTCTGGATGTCGCTGACGGCACTCTTAAACTGGTCAAGCTTCTGCTGGTCCTTGTTGGGCCTGTATTCCATCTTCTCGATGCTCTTCTCCATATGGTACTTGTCCTCGAGGAAAGGCTGCACATATTTGGCCTTGATGGGGAAGCGAACTTCCTCGGCGGCATTGCCCTCCTTGATGACCTTCTTCTCAAACATGATCTCGGGCTTTTCGTTGAGCTGGCCGTACCAGCGGAGGCGGAGCGAAGAGGCGTCAGGCTTGCCATTGACCTTGTCCGTGTAGAGTGAGAAGTCTGGGTTGTCGAAGTAGATGGAAGTGATTGTCGGGTCGCGCTGGGTACCCTCGGCAACCTTTGATGTCTGAGGGTTGTAGACAAGGACTGGGAGGCGGCGGAGGATGACCGTCTTAACCTCGAAGAGATTGTCCATGTGGACCCAAACTATATATTGTCAGCGCGGCGCGTTACAGCTGGCCATGTAAGACTTACACTTGTGTGAGTTGAAGGCCTCGCCCGTGGTGCTATCATCGTTAAAGGACAAGGCCTCCTTGGACTTGCCATCGAGGCTTTGGCGAACAAACGAGTAGAGAGCCGACAGCCTGTAGATCAGCGGCGAGGCATCCTCGGTGTGAAGCGGGTGACGGGCAATGCGGGCGTCGATGAAGGGGCGCAGGCG